GGCAGGGAGATTGTCCCAGACACTGGTGTGTGGCAGCCTGGCAACTGCGTGGCCCTGAGGAGACTGGGGGCTTCTGGAGCGTGTTCCTGGCAGTGGCCTTCACCATGGGCAACAAGCAGACAGTCTTCACTCATGAGCAGTTGGAAGCATATCAGGTAGGAGTGATGGGCGGGGCGGTGGGTTTGGCAGCCTTGAGTTCCTGGCTTGAGGAATGGGGACAGCATCCCTTGGTCCTGGGTGTGCAGTCAGCAAGGGTTCCTGTGTGCAGCATCGGCAGAGATGATCATAGGGCGGCGGGGAGAGGACAGTGGCCCCCTGGGCAGGATCTGGGACAAGCCAACATCTCTCTCCACAGGACTGCACCTTCTTCACAAGGAAGGAAATCATGAGGTCAGTCTGGGAGGAAGGGAGGAAGACCTGGAAACAACTTTCTATACGTTGCAGGAGGAGGCTTGCAATTTGACAAGACTCAATGCTTCACGGCAGAGCGCTAATTAGTGTTCAGTAGATGGAGGCAGAGATGGGGAGGCTGAGAAGTCACATCTTGTCCTATTGTCATGTCTCTAGGCTGACAAGCTTGGGCTTTCTCTCAAGGGTGGCAGGGAGCCATGCAGAGTGTGCAAGCAGGGGAGAAACAGATCAGCATGTTAGAAGGTTCCCCCTGAGGCGTATGTGAAGAGGCTGGGACTGGAGGCTGGGAGTCCAGAGGCAGAGTCCACAGCCTGCTTGGCATCAAGGTGAGGGTATGGGGAGGCACCCTGAGGCTACTGGCATGAGCGAGACAGGCATAGATGGGTATCCCACATCATTGCTCGGCCCATGGTGCCATCATCCAGAGGCCCTGACCCAGGAACTTGGAGCTGAGAAACCCAAGCTGGCCAGGGTTTGGCTGCAGAGTGATCGAGGCCCAGGGTCCAATTATGTGGGCATGGGACATCCATTATTGATGGGCACACCTTTCATGAGAGAGCCCCATTGTCTGGGTGAGGACAGTTCGCAGGGTCACCGTGGCCATGATGATCAAATTACTGAAGGGGAAACTGAGGCTCGGACAGGGGAAGCTGACTCCGGCTTTGCAGATGGGCCAAGTCTCAAGGAGTTTGAGTGTTGACATTTCATCTGTCCCAAGCTTCTCACTTGTTATACTGACTAACTGAGGCTCAGAGGGTAAGAGGGACTTGCTCAAGTCCATACAGAAACTCAAACTCAGGTTGTTCCCTGAGGAGACCCAAATAAGGAACTGGGTGGTCATGACTGAATTCCAGATACTCCCTCCTTAAGTTCCTAGTTATCATATGGCCCAGGGGCTCCTGTCCTCTTCTGAGACAGTCCTAGAAGCTTGGGGACCTCTAACTCATCAAAGACAGTCTCTACAAGGCTGCTGCTCAGCATGTCCCAGTGCAGGTAAGGCATTACCAGGTGAGGTCATCAGAGTGGAGAGCTGGCCTCCCAGACTAGGTAGTGTGTATGGCATTTGGTGTTTTCCAAAATGCATTTTAGTCACCCTTTCCTAAAACCTGAATATTAACCTTTGTCTCTGCTCTGCCCCATTGAGGGAAACTTGCTTCTGATTATGGAGGGAGAGAAGGAAGTGTGAGGATGGGGATCTTTAGAAACGTGGTCTTGCCAATAATGTGATGACGTCCAGAGATGCATAGGGTGGCTCAAATTCTCTAAATGTTTGTTGTGAAATGACCTCACCTTAAGCACTCTCCCTTCTGCCGACCCAATCTACCTGGTGAGCTCCTATTCATGCTTCAAAGCCCAGCACCAATCCTTCCCCCTTCATGAAATCCTTCCTCCTTCATGGCTTGCTTTCCCCACTCTCGTCTCCCTGAGCTCTGGTGCCCTCTTTCTACTTTGGCTGTGACCCCAGGGAGACAGAGGTGCCTGTGTGCCTGAAGGCTGGGCCAAGGGCTGATGGCTCTTAGGAACCCACCATCTTTCAGTATGGAGTGAGCAGCTGCAAGTGAGAGAGGAGGGTCAAGAGCCCTCCCTCCCATCATCTCCCAACTCTTCCCGGTGTTTCCATCCCTACTCCAGGCTCTTCTATCGCTACCAGGACCTGGCTCCCCAGCTCGTCCCCCTCGACTATACCAGCTGCCCTGACGTGAAGGTGCCTTACGAGCTCATCGGCAGCATGCCCGAGCTGAAGGTATGCTTAGGCAATGGGGTGGGCAGGGAAAAAATAGTGGAGATGTCTCTTGCTGCATTCCTATGACGTGAGTGCTGCAATTATTCCCATTTTATGGATGAGAAAACTGAAGTTCAGAAAGGTTAAGACACTCGTTCATGGCCACATTTTAAGAGACAGGATTCAAACCCTGGGTTGGTGGGAGGATGAGCTAGGATAATGCAGGCAAAGGGCTTAGCACAAGGCCTGTTGCATGGCAAGTACTCAGGGAACATTAGTTCTTTTCACAGTAGGAGCAGCTAAATGCAGGTTCTTCTCAGCTGGATATTCAACACATGGTTTGTGCCTCTAAAGGGGACTTGTGGAGCCAGTGACTGTGCACAGAGGCAAAAGGGACAAAAACGTCATTCAAGAGGGACAGAATGGATTAGATCACATGAGCAAAAAATCCATCAGTACAGCTGGAACCATGGTCTCTGAGGATGGGCTCAGGAATCTACTTCCATTTCTCAGCAACTCCTAGGAAGATGCTTCACTTTCAAGCAGCCCTTCCTCTTGAGGTAGTGAAGGGAACCCCCAGTGCCTAGATTTCCTCCTGTCAGCTCTGCAACCAGCAGAAAGCAGGTCCCTTCATCCCAATGTAAAAAAAAATAAAATCCCAGGGCAGCTTCTGGTTGGCCAGTTTAAGTCACATGCCTATCCCGGAGTCAATCATGGTTGCCAGGTGAGTGGAAATCTCTGATTGTGCCCAGCTAGCGTGGCTCAGCGGTTGAGCATCGACCTATGATCCAGGAGATTGTAGTTCAATTCCCGGTCAGGGCACATGATGGGTTGTGGGTTTGATCCCCAGTAGGGGGAGTACAGGAGGCAGCCGATCAATGACTCTCTCATCATTGATGTTTCTATTGCTCCCTCTACCTTCCTCTCTCTGAAATCAATAAACACATATTTTTAAAAAATAAAAGAAGAAATCTCTGATTGTCCTTACCAGTGACATGTGGCTGCCTCTGTAACTGGAAGTAGAGACACCACCATCCAGACCACAGGGGCAGAACATGGAAGTGCCTGAAGTCCTTTCCAAGGACCACGAGAGGGAGGGAGTCTTGGTGGGGGGTACTTGGAGGTTGCCAAGAAGGTGGGTGCTGAGAGTGAGAACACATGAAGCCTGAGACCCTAATCAGTGATGGCTTCCCTGCTTCCTGTCCCCAGGACAACCCGTTCCGCCAGAGGATTGCCCAGGTCTTCTCCGAGGATGGGGACGGCCACATGACCTTGGATAACTTCCTGGACATGTTTTCTGTGATGAGTGAAATGGCTCCTCGTGACCTCAAAGCCTATTATGCTTTTAAAATCTATGGTGGGTGCAGGGCCTGGGGTAACGGCTGTGTGGTGGGGAGTGGAAACAAGGCCAGCCCCAGGTCCGGGGACTGCCCTGCTGTCATAGTGTCTCCCCAAGGGCTTCAAGGTCCAGGGTGGTCCTGTCTTCCACCCACCGCATACCTCCCGACCTCATCTCCTTGCTCACTCCATTCCAGCCACACTGGCCTCACCTTCCTCCAACACACCAAACTCTTTTCTGTCCCCAGGCCTTTGCCTCTGCTGGGTCTTCGGCCCAAAACACCTTTCTCCTGGCTCCTCCTTATCTTTCGGTCTCAGTCAAAAGTAGTCCCCGCCCCCCAGTCATTCTCCATCCCCATTTTATTTCTCTCCTAGCATGGAATAATGCTGCTAATTTCTTGTTCATCAACCTGTTCACTTCTTATTGACTTTCTCTCTGAGGAGACCCAGGGCAGCAACAGTGTCTGTTTGGTTCACCTCTGTCTCCTGTGCCTGGCACACAGTAGGCACTCAATAAATACTTGAAGAAATGAACATTTATTATGGTGCCTGGCACATAATAGGCACTAAATAAATACTTGTTGAATGAGTGAATGAATAAGTTAGCATGGTGTCTGGTACATAATAAGTGCTCAATAAATACTTGAATGAATGAATGAAAATTTACCACAGTGCCTGGCACATAGGTGCTCAATAAATACTTGTTGAATGTATGAATGAATGAACAAACTTGTCCCTGCCTAATTCAAAGCAAGACCCAATTTTTCTCTGAGGGTCTTGGCTTCCCTCCAGTGCCTCAGTTTCCCCCTCTGTAACATGGAAACAAGATATGCCCACACTGGCCTACCTGCCTGCCACCTGCTGTCTGCTCACCCCACGTCCCATCCATTCTGCTGCACAGACTTTAACAACGATGACTACATCTGTATGTGGGACCTGGAGCAGACAGTGACCAAGCTGACACGGGGGGAGCTGAGCACTGAGGAGGTGAGCCTGGTGTGTGAGAAGGTGCTGGATGAGGCTGACGGGGACCATGATGGACGGCTGTCCCTGGAAGACTTCCAGAACATGATCCTGCGGGCGCCCGACTTCCTCAGGTGACAGTCCTTGCCGCCCCACACAACCCATTTCCATGTGGAGAAAGGATCTTATGGAACTAGTTCATAGACTCCATTTGTGAAAGTTTCTTTGTTCATTCATTCGTGAGCTTGGGGAACTTTCCCAACCTCCCTGGCCCCAGTCCCTGCATCTTTAAAGTAGGGATAATTAGGAACCCCATGGGCACCTCCTGTGGGTGCTCACAGCTCTTTGGGTGAGTGGAACACGGATGAAGCTCAGCCCTCACTTGCCTGAACAGTTTTCAGTGAACAGACTGTACAACTGTACTTGGCAACCCTGGGGAGAATCGCCCCCACTGTAGGGTGGATAGCAAGGGTTACATGAGATAGTACAGGAGGTGGCCCATTGCTAGTTTTTATACCTCCAATGAAAGAAGAATAGTTTTTACATTTGCATTTTTAAATGGTTGGGGGGCGGGATCAAAGAATAATAATACTCCATGACACATGAGAGTGATAGGAAATTGAAATTTCCAGGTCCATCAATAGTTTTACTGGCACACAGCCATGCCCTTTTGTGTACAGATTGTCTATGGCTGCTTTCAAGTTACAAAGCAGAGTTCAGTCATTGTGCAAAGTTGGAAATATCAACTATTTGGCCCTTTCCAGAAAAAAAGTTTGCTGACCCCAAAGTTAGCACATGGAACAAATTTAGAGCAGGCCTGGCAACACAGTAGGTGCTCAAACCTGTGTGCCGTAGTTGCTGGTGTGGCTGTTATTATTGGTAGTGTCCCTATATGTACAGAGGGCCTCCTTTCTCTACCCTGGATAAGCAAGGCTGGTCTCTTGGCCGATGGAGACCTGAATAATGACAATGCAATGATGGAGCACCTTCTGTGTGCTCCACTCTCAGCCCTCAATACAGCTCTATGAAGGGGGGACAGCTACGATCCTCACTTCAGAGGGGGGTAAACTGAGGCCCAGACAGGGGCAGCCACTCACTCAGAGTCCTACAGCAAGTCTGAATGTAAACTCTGGTTCAAAGAGATGTGCTCCCAACCCCTGGGGAAAGGGGTCAGGAGGGCCACAGCCTAGGACTTCTTGAGGGAGGGGGTCCCTCTTCCTATGTGATGACTGGCCTGCCTAGGGGACTTCCAGTGGGAGTGTTGGGGAGGAAGATGCAGGAGGCCATCCTCTGCCTGATGACACTGACCCCTTTCCTCTTTGCACACAGCACCTTCCACATCCGCATCTGAGGACACCATGGAGGAGGAGCCGGGCTGAGGGCAGGGCAACCCCTCACCCCGCTGTAGAATCTGAACTCGGAATAAACACGTCACTAAGTCACGCCTACCTTAAACCTGGTGGCTGGGAGGGAGGGAGGATCCCTGGGATCGCATCTCTGCTCAACCTGTGTGACCCTGGGTGTGGCTGCACCCTCTCTGGGCTACCATCTCCCTGATTGTACAAGGAAGAGTCTGACTTCTAGATCTCTCCCCCACTGTGAAGGCCGGAAGGGCTTTGCTGTGGGTCTTGGTGAGCAGAGATGAGGTGTGCAGATGAGACATGTTGTCCTGCCCCAGGGCCCCCCAAAGCCAAACCCTAGTCCCCCTTTCCTTCATCCCTGAATTCCTCAAAGGGACTGAAGGTTTAACTCCTTGCTTATTTATTCAAGCTGCCAGAGGAGGCCCCTGAGGGGGTGGCAGGGATGTCACTCACTGAGATGGGCACAATACTTTAAAGTTTATGAAACACCTGCCCCTCCTCCATCTCATTGGATGCCTGTGACATCCCAGGAGGGCTGGCCAAGGATCAGTCATACTTCATTCAGAGGGAACAGAGTGACTTGCCCAAGACCACACCTCAAGTCATCTACAGAGGCAGACTTGACCCCAGGCCCAGCTCACTCCGGCTCCCAGACCTTTACACTTTGTGGATTTGGGAAACCCTACACCCACTCCACCCCAGGGGCCCCAACTATGGCCCCAGTCAGTCCAAAGAGTGGGGCAACTGAGAGCAGCCCCAGGGACCTTCCCAGGGACCCCCACTGTGTAGCATTTCTAGAGAGCCCACTCCCACCCTAAACTCCTACTGTGCACCAAAAACACCTACTGTGCACAAAGCCCTAGGATTTATACACATCCTACTGCTTCATCCTGAACCAGAGGGCAGTACTGCTCTTCTCCCCATTTTCCAGATGAGGAAATAGGCCCAAAGAGGTCTAGTGACTCGCCAAAGCACACAGCCTTGCAACCCAGGATTCACACCCCCGCAAGAGTCCACTCCAACCACAGGCCTGGGCTGCCTCTCCCTTTTTAAAGCAAAGGACACATTTCCTCCTCCTAAAGCTGACATTGACGTCTGGAGTGCTTACTGTGCACCAAGCCCTCCATAAGTCTCATCTCCTTCATTTGCATGAGAACCCAGGAGGAAGGCCCGTCCAGAACTTAGAGCTGAGCCTGGGTGCAGGGGATGTGGGGGAGAGGACTCCAAATGACACAACTTCCAATGCTGGTACTGGTACCCAGGAGCCTGGCGACTTTGACCATGTGTCTTCTCTCTAAACCTCAGTCTCTTCTTTAAAATGTGCAGAAGGTGCCTACCTGATGGGCCTGCTCAGAGGCATAAAAAAAATGATGACGTGGAGAGTCTTGGTACGGGACTGGCACCCATTAGGTGCTCCAGACCCTTGCTGTAACTGATTAACTGATTATTACTATTCAAAGAACCAGGTCACCCCATTGGCAATTGCAGAACCAGACCTAAGCAACATCTTTATTACATTTCTCAGGTTCCAGAGGGCTGGTGGGTAGAAAAGGAAGGGGTCCAGGTGTGAGCAGCCCCTGGCACCAAGGGTTCCAGAGCCAGGGTGAACCTCTTCTCTAGCAGTACCCAGGGGCAAAGGGTGGCGGTGGGCGGTACTCCTCAGGAAGCCAGTCCTCCGGGGGTTCTTCTGCCAAGTCCCTCTGCTCCAATTTGGATACCTGTGAGGACAGGGCCCTCACTACTGCTTGGTGCCAACCCCTGGTCCTTGGCGTCACCTCGCTCCAGCTGACTGACCTCGAGGCCTTCTTGGAGGAGTTATCTCTGTCTTTTGGAGCCTGAGGCTGTGAGGGGCCTGAGAGTGACACAGCCACAAAGGGGTCTGTGTAGACGTTAGTGTCCCAGGCTGCATCATCGGCTCTTGTGGAGCCGTGAGTCACCTCTGATCGCTCCGAGTCGCGGAGCGACGGCAAGCTCACGGTTGCCAGGTGGGATTTCAACTGCTGCTGGACCCTCTTGCCCGCCTCGGGGAGTGTTTTGAGGTTTCTCCATAGTTTCTGGCAGGCCTCCTCCAGAGGAGCTTTTGGGGGACAGGAGGAAGCAGCTTCTCCCGTGGGCACTCTGTTCATCTCTGCTGATGACTTCCTTTCCTTTCCCCGATGGAGCAGGACTAGCTTTGCGGAGGCCTGAAACAAAGAGCAGGTAAGACCTGTGGCACACCCACCAGAACTCTGGATCTGCCCCAGAAATTGGGATCTGGGTCCCACCCAGATGCCCTAGGGCCAACAAACATCCCCCTAAACCTAACCTGATGCCCAATCCTTTCCATTTTTGTTCCCAGCTTCACTCGCTCCCCAGCAGTCGGCAAACCTTTTCTGAAAAAGGGCCAGAGAACAAATAGTTTCCGCTTTGCGGGCTCTACAGTCTCTCATTACTCAGCTCTGCTGTTGTCAAACACGTGGGCCCGGGTTCCAATAAAACTTCATGGACACGAAAATCTGAGTTTCATCTGATTTTCACGGGCCATGAAATTATTATTTTTCTCAACCATTCAAAAACGTAAGTGTTCCTCCCATAACAAGTTCTGAGGGCCTAGGCTTCACAGGCCATACAGAAGCATGCACTGAACCCAGACATGGCCCTCAGGCCGTAGTTTGCTGACCCCTGACCTACCATGGTTCAGGCCAAGTGGGTGGCATGTGTGGCAGATGCTGATGTTGACCCACCCATATCCTCTTTGCTCCCTTCCCACTCCCAAGTGCCAGCACAGGGGAATCTGCCTGAGGGCCTTCTTTGGCCACCAGTGCCCACTGTGTCCACATGGCAGACCAGAAATGCCAGAGAATCAAAATCTCCCAGGAATAGTGCCTGACCAATGACTGAGGGAATTTGGAAGGTAAATACCCAGGATCCCTTGCCCCTAAGTGGTGATAACTGAAGCGGTAGGCAGACAGGAAACATGAAGACTCATAAGTAAACAAGAATTTTCACATTTTGAGGAGTGGTCTGTTGCAAATAAATAGGGTGATGTGATGGAGAAGGTGGGGGGGATGGAGATGGGAGGGAGACATTTGGAGAACTGATGGAAGAAGCCAGGCATGGGAGATCTGGGACAGAGCATAGAGCACAACATGTGCAAAGGCCCTGAAGTTAGCTTGATGTGGGACGGCAGAGGGGCTGAGGCTGGGCTGGTGAAGGGCAGAAGAAGAAATTGAGGTTGCAGTCAGGATTCTAATCTTGGTTCCTTGGGAAATCACTGAAAGGTTTTAAGCTCAGACCTATAGGATCTCATCTTCATTCTAGAAAGTCTCTGGCAGCTGTTGGCCACCTCTGCTCCTGACCCTCCCCCAGGCTGGAGGTGCCAGCTTTCTGTCACATACCTCCTTGCGTGCAGCCACAGGATGGGAGGAAGGTTTCTGATGTTCACTAGGGCCAGGGGGGAGGCTGGCAGCTTCCTCAGCCAATGTGTGGTAGTAAAGGAAGAGATCCTCGTAATCCACGTTTGCTGGATCCTCCTGCGGGACAGAGGGGAAGTGCAGCTCAGCCCCAAGGAGGGGGACAGGGATAGGGATGGGGTCCCCAGACCCTGGTAATTGGGGCTCAGCAGCTGCTCCCACCCACAAACCTTGTAATAAAGATGTTCCTCTGACAGCAGCTTCTGAGGGCCTAGGCCCCGCCCACAGCACATTATGTGGGCCAAGGCCACACCCATACATCCTTATAAGGAGGTCTGCCCCTCCCACAGCAGCTTCTGAGGGCCTGCCCACCCAGGCTTATGCTATTCCTATAGATCAGCTAGGGTTATACCTGGCACGTGAAACCTTGTAGAAAATCAGCCTGAGGGGAAATTAGGACCAGGAGGAGCGGGGCCCTGGGAGGACATGGACCATGAGAGGACAGAATCACAAGAGACTGAAGGGGACTGGTAGAAGCAAAATGAGTCTGGGGGTCTTGGCCTCTGGGAAGACAGATACTGCCCACCCAGGTCCCAACCCTCACCTGCGGACAGGGCTGCTTCAGAAGCTCCCCGTGTGGCCGAATCGGCTGCTGCTGGTGAAAGGTGACCAGGGCATCCAGCGAGGCATGGGCCCTCTCCTCCCCAGGGATTATCAAGCTCCCATTGTCCAAAAGCTTCACCATAAAGTGACGGTAGCAGTTTTGGGCTCTGTGGAGACACTGCCAGGGCTGAGACATCCCACTCCCCTCATTCCATCCCCACCCCCCATCACGGCTGAAGTCAGACCACACAGGTTCCTATGTCAGCTTCTCTACTCATTAGGCATGTGACATTTGGTAGGTGACTAACAGCATTGTGCCTCAGTTTCCCAACCTATGACATGGGGCTACAAAGACTGACCTCAGGAGTTCTTGTGAAGATGAAACAAGTTACTGCTGGAAAAGCTTAGCTCGGTGCCTGGCTATGGGTAAATATCAATAGAAATGATAATGAAAATTTGAGTGCCTGGCACTCTGCTCCATTAATGAATGGGTGCATTTATTAATGGCCTACTATGTGCTTGCTATATGTTTTAATCCTCACATAAAGACAATTAATTTTAGCATCCTATGTTAGAGATGAGGACTTTGAAGGAAGCAAGAAAGGTTGAATAACTTGTCCAAGGTCACACAGCGTGTAAGTAGCCTTGTAATGTATGACTTAGGTCCTGAGGTTTTCCCACTGTGGGTAATTCTGTGATGGAACCATTGGATTTTTTAAATTATTATTATTCCTTTGGCTTGGAATCCTTTCAAAAAGTAGTTTGTTCTGCTGAATCCTCTAACTGGGATGCCAGCTCAGGCTTTGAGGCCTCAAGCAGCTGGACTGCCCTGAGTTTCCAACACATTCTCCTTAGTGGGGTCAGAGTGTTGCCAAGTAGATGGTGGAAGTGAGGTGGACAGTCAGGGAAAGGGCAGTAGCCACTCTCAGGACCCTAGCAGCCCCTGTTCTCAGACACACAGTCTTAGTTACCACCAGACTGAAGTCTGCTTGTTACAGCCAGACCTGCAGCTGCACTCTTCAGCCAGATCTGTCCAGAACTTCATACCAGTTGCTCTCTGAGACCTGTGGTATGAAGCACCCCTTGTACCTCCAAAAAATCCTGGAACCCTCCTGCCCCTGCCCTGTCCCCTAGCCCAGGCCTTACTTGTAGGAGAGTGTGTAGCCCACATGACTGTGACTGACTCTGATGAGAAAGGATCCCAGTGGCTGTGACTCCAGCAAATTCTCCGCATCCCTGGAAGGACACAGACGGGAGGGAGATGGCTGAGGTCCAGCCACCCAGGGTACTGTCCAGACCCTTGATGTAACAGTCATTCCAGGACTGAACCAACAACCTAAAACAGTTGCTTTTCCTGGTTGTTTCAGACTTTGGGATATTCAGGAATAGGATGTTCCCCCAGAAGTGACAGAAGGCCTCTGATGACCTTGACTCCAGCGGACCTCCCATCTCCCACAGCCTCTGCCTGCCTTCCCAATGTCCGGAATCCGCCCAGGAAGACACCTTTGGGTGGATCTGGGTATGACAGGTAACAAAGCAGGAGCTATTCCCAGATGCATTTGAGATCAAAACCCAACTCTCTTGTTCATTCACTGTGTCACCCCTGGAGAGGGCCAGTCCCTTTCTGACCTCAGCTTCTTCAAGGGGACAGAAACCCCTCACTCTCAGGGCCAATGTGAAGACAGACAAAATGTATACAACATGAAAACTTCTACGTGGTACGTGCTTTCAAAACATTCACTCTTAGTACAGTTGACCCTTGAACAACATGGGTTTGAACTGCCAGGTCCAAGCATATTTTTTTCAATAAATATACAAATCAGCCCTCTGTAGAGTATTTTTGATCTGAGGTTGGGAATCCATGGATGTGGAGGGCTGACTGTATGCATTGACCTACACCATTTTATAGAGGGGACTTGAGCATCCACAGATTTTGGTATCTGTGGGGGGTCCTGGAACCAATCCCATGGATACTAGGAAATGACTGTAGTTAAGTTTCTGAGGAGTCAAAAAAGTTATACAAAGGATCTAGAGTTGGCACCCCATAAACTCTGCATTGTTCAAGGGTCAACTATATTACTATCATTATTACTACTAATTTCTGGGGCACATAGAGAGTAAGGTGGCTTCTATGGGGAGCCTTTGGACCCATGTTGTCCAGTACAGAGGCCATTGCCCACATGTGGCTACTGAGTGCTTAAAATGTGGCTGGTCTGGCTCTGGCCAGTGTTGCTCAGTGGTTAGAGCGTCAGCCTGTGCACTGAAGGGTGCTTTCGATTCCCAGTCAAGGGCATGTATCTGAGTTGGGGGTTCACTCCCCACTTCCAGTCAGGGTGCATGCAGGAGGCAGCTGGTAGTTGTGTCTCTCTCACATCGATGTTTTTTTTTCTCTCTCTCTCCCCCTCCCTCCCTCCCACTCCCTCTCAAAAAGCAAAGGAAAAAATATCTTCAACTGAGGATTAACAAAAAGAATGGGGGCGCTGAATCAAGATGTGCTTTTAGCATACAATACACATTGGATTTTAAAGACTCAGTACATAAGCATGGAAAATATAGTCAATATTGTAATAACTATATATGGTGTCAGACGGTTACTAAACTTCTTGGGGTGATCACTTCGTAAGTTATATAAATGTCTAATCACTATGTTGCACATCTGAAACTACTATTGTATGTCAAATGTAGTTGAAAAAAAATTTAATTATAAAATATAAAAAAATAAAGGCAGTACAAATAGAGGAATATATATTCTGCCTCATGAATGATTTTTTTAGTATTAATTCCTTGTTAAAATGATAATATGGATATACTGGGTTAAATAAAAGATGTGATTAATTGTCCCTTTTTGCTTCTTTTAATATAGCTACTAAAAAATTTAAAATTGCAATGTATAGCTCATATTAGGTTTTACTGGCATGCCCCAGAACTCAGAAATCATTTCTAGTTCTGCCTCTCTGCGGCTTTTGCAATGTTCTCTCCACTTTCTGATCCCCAAGGGTAGCAATAAATGTCCTGTCTTTCATTTATTTAGAGCCAGACCCTGGGGTGACTAAGTAGGTGAGTCTGTTCATCTCCTCAGAGCTCAGTCTGCTGTAGAAAGCGCATGTTAGCTAGATACCCGACAGACTGAGAGGAGTTGTTTGGGGCCCTGTTAAGAAGGATTCTGAGGCTGCATTCTGCCATCACCGATTGGTGACACCTGACCTAGTGAGGGGCTGGGGCAGGGGGCGGTCTCTGGCAGTTCTGGTCTGGTGGCCGCTTGTATAGAGAAAGCCAAGGTCCAGAAAGGGAAAATAACTTGCCCAAGGGTGCACAGCGAGCCCACAGACGAGATAAGATTCAAGCCCGAAACGCCAAAGCTATTTTCATCCTCTAACACACATAGGTGAGCTGAGCCCAGAATTCCACAGTGAAAACCTGCCCAGGGTGGGGGCAGACAAAGAGGGTGAAAGGCATGGTGGGAAGTGCGGGTGTGTCCTCACTGTCTGGAGATGGCACCATGGAACCACGAAGGGACTTCTCCTTGGGCCAGCTGGCCCACCTGTGTATGCACGAACCAGTCCAGTCGTGGGGGCAGCGGTGGGGGCAGCTTTCTGGCCTCTGTCATGGTTTCCTGAGGGAGAAGGTGTCACCTGGGGGCAGGAAGGAGGAGAGAGTCAGGCCTGGTCCACCTCCTATCTTTATCTTATTCTTGCAGCTCATGGTGCCTCCTCTTCTGAGAAGTCCTCCAGGCTGGACAGAGCAACGGGCTTGAAACTGGCTTGTTTCTTGAGCACCTACTATGTGCTGGCACTTTATGTACATTCACTTATCGATTCCTTCCAAAAATCCTCCAAGGGTAATAAGAATAAAAGGAAATAATGAGAATAAAAGGGAATAATAAGAATATTACTTCCCAGCCAGCATGGCTCAGCAGTTGAGCATCGACCTAGGATCCAGGAGATTGGGTTCGATTCCCGGTCAGGGCACAAGCCCAGGTTGCTGCTCGATCCCCAGTAGGGAGCGTGCAGGAGGCAGCCAATCAATGACTCTCTCATCATTGATGTTTCTATCTCTCTCTCTCTCTCTCTTCCTTCCTCTCTCTGAAATCAATGAGCGTGCAGGAGGCAGCCAATCAATGACTCTCTCATCATTGATGTTTCTATCTCTCTCTCTCTCCCTTCCTCTCTCTGAAATCAATGAAGACATATTTAAAAAAAAAAAAAGAATATTATTATTTCATTACTGTGAGAGTTAGAAAGTTCTCTGTATAGATATATGTACTTGAGCTTAAGAATCGAATTTATTTGAATACTAAGTAACTACCGGTCCCTGGTGAGATGTGGAGACGGCAAAATGATAAACAAATGAATGAAATAGTGGACATTCAGTGAGTTGCCACGGTTGCCACGGTTGCCTTAAACACCACAGAGACGTGGCCCAAACAGTTGCTTCTGCACCAATGTTGCCAGGCATGATGGCCACGAGTGGCACACCTATAATGTGTCCGGTGCATGGTTAATTCACACTCATTCTCAACCATTTTAAGCTCAGGTACCACTGGACTTTGTGAGCTAATGACACAGAACAAGAAAATAGAGGGGGAAAAAAAGCACCAATTTGCAAAACAGTATGACGTCAGTGTAAAGCCAGCAAAAGGGTTGTACCCTGCTAAGCTGACCCCTCACAGTCACCCTAATTCTGTCCCCAAACTGGCCCCACTCCCCACACTGGGCAAGTCTAATTTTTCAATACTGCAGAAAGTCATTGTTACCAGGCCGTTTCCACACAGAGGGACCCTGTTGATCAAACCAGTCAATACTGACTTCCTCTTGTGAGAAGACAGATGGCAAGCACACCCTCCAGGGAGGGAACCAAAGGAATTCTGGGGCAAGTGAAATTAATCTATTAAGAAATGTTTAATAAGTCAGGGTGGCAAAGTGGTTAAGAGCCTGCAATCAGAGCCTAGATGCAAACCCCAGCTCTCCCACTTAGCTGCTATGTGATCTTGGGCAAATCAACTTAACCTCTCTGTGCCTGCATTTTTTACTTCAATTTGGAGATAATGATGGTATTTACCTGGTGTAGTGGAAGCCCTGACAGTGTTTTTTTGTTTGTTTGTTTTCTTTTTTGTAATGCGAGTATAAGCTTTGATTGCTGAGGCATCCATTTCAGCAATGGCAATCTTCAATAAACATTGCCAACCTTATAACTGAAGAACCAAGCTGCCTTCTCCCACTGAAGCTCCTTTGTTTTAGAGATCCTGGTTGATTTGAATAATTGACCATTTGTGCATGCTTGCTCTACCTTTGGCCTTGCTGAGTGGTCCCAGGCATGCTAAATAATTTCCAAGCGCTTAAGTAATAAATAAACCTTTATTTTTTTAACGTTTCCTGATGGCTATTGCTGAAGGGTGTCTTGAAACCATAACAAGAACCACAAGGGCTGGTCCAGTCACAACATTGGTATTGATTGGCAGAGACCAGCACAAAACACTTGTATATATAATAAATATTCGTAAGTCCAGTAGCGACCCAGCATGGGATAATGTTTATAGACTTGTTCTTTTTTTCTACCTGGGAGACCTCCTACTTATCCTTCAAGACCCAGCAAAAATATCCCCTCCTCCATGCAGATTTCCTGCCTCTTCCCCTAGAAGAGGCACCCTTCTTTGTCCCCCAACCTTCCCCACAGTTCTTGCCTCTGGCCTAGCCTTGCCTCATGGAGCTGGAGTGTCTGTGTTTAGTTCTGTCTCCTCCATATTAGGGGCTCCCAGGGTCTGGGCCCAGGGCTAGATTTTTGGAAAGATCTTTTGGATTTTTCTGGGTCCCCAGCATCAGCTGGAGCTGGGTTGGCACAGAGGAGGGTACAGGGTGTACCCTGGCACTGGGACCCTGGCACTGGGACCTCCCCACCCCCTATCCCCTGTTCCAGCCAGAACAGCATCCTTGCTCTACCCCACACTGATGAAGTTCTCCTTCCCCTCCACACCTTTGCCCATGCTATTCTTTGCCAGGAATGCTCTTTCCCCAACTCCAACTCCATTTTCCAATGGTCAGCTGCTGGTGCCTCCAGAAAATTGCTCATGTATCTCTGGTCCCCGCCAGCCCAAACCCATCCTCTGGCTCAGCTTGGACCCCATGCTCTGTTTTCTAGAGGGCTGGGGCGGGGCTGAGACTCTCAGGGGCCCCAGTTTCACCCAGCACAGGTGGGCATGTGGTTGACTGAGGAGTCCCCACCCGAGGAACATACCTGGGAGACCCCTAGGCGGCCAAGGCCCTCGCTGTGCCCGTGCTTGTGCCCGTGCTTGTGCCAGTGCTTGTGCCCGTGCCTGTAGGAGCCTAGGTTTCGGTTCAGGGTCCGCAAGTCAGCAGGGCGGGGCCCCAGGCAGTTCCTGTTTCCTTAAGCAGGTGAGCCCTGGGGCGGGACCAGGACAACCCCTCTATCTGCACTCCAACAAAGCTGCTGAGCTTTGTTGGAGGGCCACCCTTGCTCCACCTAGATCTGGACAAGCCTCTACTGAACATCTGTTGTGTGCCAGATCCTCAGGGGACAGAGGAGACCTCAAGACAGGCACAAGACCCACCCTACACTCTAGTGAGCAATGAAGAAGAGTAAGAAATTATTAATGTTTCAAAGCAAACAGCAGGTCAGAAAGTGGGAACTGGAGTTGCAAGAACCCCCAGAGGGGACCTAACTGATCTGGAGGAAGGGGCACCTGGGGCGAGGTAGGAGTCAACTCGATTAGGGGTGGGGTTGCAGAAAGAGTGCTTTAGGTAGGGGGAGTGGCACAGACAAAGGGCCTGAAGCAGGATGGAGCCTGGATAGGCCAAACCTCGTGTTTTGACTTCTGTAAAAAAACAAAAACAAAAAAACCCAGCTCTGGCTGGTGTGGCTCAGTGGTTAGAGTGTCAGTCTGTGCACTGAAGAAGGGTCGTGGGTTTGATTCCTAGTCAAGGGCATGTACCTGGGTTGCAGGTTCATCCCCAGCCCCCAGCTGGGGTGTGTGANTCCTTTCTAACTTTCAAAACATACTTAGAATCTGATCACTTCTCACCACCTCTGCTACTGCCATACTAGTCCAAGCAACCATTATTTCTTACCTAGATTATTCCACGTATTATCCTAACTGGTCTCTCCTGCTTCCATCCTTGCCTCAGTTCACCAGGTCATATAACCTCTCTTTTCAAAGCACTTCGGCAGCCTCTCTTTTTATTGAGAATAAAATGTGAAGATTTTACCATGGTCTTACATAATTTGCAAATCTGCAAATCCCTCCCCTACTCTCAATCTCTCTAATCTCATCTCCTAGTCTACGCTACCATTACCTCTTACTTAGATTACTGCAAAAACTTCTTGTCCGATTGCTTCTGTCCTTGAGCCCCTACCGTATTTCTCTACATGGCAACTAGAGGATTCTCTTAAAATAAAAGTCAGATGATATAAAGCTTGTTATTTCCCATATTCTAGTAGCTTTTTCCATCTCACTCAGAATAAGGGCTTCTCTGATGACCTTATACATAAAATAAACTCTTTCCCCCATCCTACCATCCTACCTTATTTTCCACTTCAGCATTTATAACTGCTAGATATGTGTTTATTGGTCACCTCTCCCAATATTTCATAAGCTCCATGAGAGTAAGAACTTTAACTTACTACTGTTTCTACAATGCCAACAACAGTGCCCAATACATACTATTTGCTGAATAACTGATTAATTCATCCAACAAATAGTTTTTGAGCATTTACTGTGTGGCAGGCACTAGGCATTGGTTAAGCTGCCCTACTGCCACTGGAGGAGGTAGAAAGGATTTTAAGGCAAATGATAAGGAAACTACCTGATTGCTTTTGGTAAAAGTCAAATGATATTTTCTTTTGTCCCTTACTAATGCCTTCACTTGACTCTTCTGTGAGTTGAAAGAGTTATGATGATTTTAAAAAATGGTGTCTTCTGCCCTGGCTGGTGTGGCAGGTTTGATCCCTGGCCCCTGGTCAGGGCACGTGTGGGTGGCAACCTTAATTGATGTGTCCCTCTCACCTCTCTCTCTCCCCCTCTCCCTCCCTCCCTTTCTTTCTCTCTCTCTCCCCCCCTCCCTCCCAACCTTCCACTCTCTCTAAAAATCGATGGAAAAAATGTCCTCAGGTGAGGATTAACAACAAGAAGAAAACCCCAAGCCATTTAAAATTGTATTTTATGACTCCATTGGCACCATTACATATTCATTATTATTGTATTAAATAAATTTTTCCTGATTTTTAAAACACTAAAACATTTTGAGGGCCCCTATACACACCGTGGGCCCTGAGTATGAGAACCTGCGCCTAACAAATCAGCCAGCCCCAGATATATGCTGGCTGTCCCCCCTTTCCTGTCCCAGGACACGGGCAAAACCACTTCCTCCTCCTCTTTCAGGCAGAAATGGCCCAGATCCTCCTGGCTGAGCTGGGGGGCAGGGCTCCCCGTGGGCCTATGGCCCTGGCCCAGCTGGTTTAGATAGCCTCATGGCAGGCTCAAGATGGTTGCCTGGAGCCTGTAGTTCAACAGCCCCAAGCAGAAAACACAAGAAACTCATTTCTCACTCACCCACTATGTGGCCTTGGGTGAGTTGCTCAACCTCTCTGGGTCTG